TCAATGAAGTTGTCACTGAGAGAGAGCATGTCCAAGTATGAATCAGAAAACACAAAATTAGATGTTCTGGCATGGAGCCAGTATCAACCTTGTTTTCTGAATCGACAAATAATCTCTCTTTTGTCTACCCTTGGGGTCAAAGATCACGTCTTTGAAAAGATGCAAAGAGAAGCAGTGCATCAACTGGATACCATATTAACAGATCCTCTAAGGGCTCAGGAGGCGCTAGATTTGATGTCTTCAGGAGAGAACACTAACATTCTCAAGGAAATGCTTCTGTGTGATTATAAGCCTGATGCAGAACCATTCCTCTCAATGATGCTGCAAACTTTCCGGGCATCAAAATTGCTGGACTTGCGGACTAGAACAAGAATATTTGTTCCTCGTGCAAGATCAATGATGGGATGTCTAGATGAAAGTGGAATCTTGGAGTATGGGCAGGTATTTGTGCAACTTTCTGGCACGGGACGTAAGCTGTTTGATGACTATTCCCTTAAGTACAATGGCCGTGTCTTGGACCAATGTAATTTCATAGTTGAGGGCAAGGTAGCTGTTGCAAAAAATCCATGCTTACATCCTGGTGATGTCCGTGTTTTAATTGCTGTTGATGTTCCAGCTTTGCACCATATGGTGGATTGCGTTGTTTTTCCACAGAAAGGGGAGAGGTAAGACATGATTGTGAAAACATTTAAACTATAAAGTTTATGGGTAATTTTTCTTTTATTTTAGTGTTTTGGTTTAAAAGGACTAAAGTGAATTATAGCTTATGCATATTTACATAAGAGTTACAATTAAGTTAATATATTCCGGTTGATATATATTTTCTGTTTGAAGATATGGAGGTTCATATCCTGGGAATTAGTGATGTCTAGATGGAAGTGCTTACTTGTGCTTTGTTCTGCTTTAAAATACATTATTGATGGATTTATGAACTAATAGTGATAGAAAGAATGATATGTTTCAATTGGTTACACATAACCACCCTTTGTATTTTGTCACAATGGTAGCTTTATGCACTACTACTGCACTACTACATATGTAGTATATATGAGTGTTTGAATGTCCTTTGATCTATCAATTTAATATTTATGAGTACCTATTCATTTGTTCTGGGAGATTTAATTATGTTTTGGATAAATCTTGTATTTACCTGGTGATGTTTCTGAAAAATGGGGGTTATTTATAATTATGGCTTAATTGGCTTCTCTTTTTATGGCTAATTACATAGTTATTGACAGACATCTTTCTGTTAGCACTCTCTCTAACCCTTGGCGAATTTTAATTACAGACCTCATCCAAATGAATGCTCAGGCAGCGACTTGGATGGTGACATTTACTTTGTCTGTTGGGACTCTGATCTGATTCCTCCCTGGCAAGTCCAACCTATGGATTATACCCCAGCACCACCTATGGTGTTGGATCATGAAGTTACAATTGAGGTATTATTCACATGGTTAGATGTTGTAGTAGTTTGGGAACTCCTCCTGTTGTTCCTATAATGAATTATCCTTCCATTGCGTTAACATTTCTTATATCCAACTATGCATGTTTCTCATTTGATCTGTCTTTTGCTATTACCATTGACCGGTCCCCGACAAATTGAGGCTGCTAGAGGGGGTGGACTGGGTAGATCTTACCTCTTGTGTTTTTTGCTCAAAATGGCTGCCCTTGTTTTGAATCCACGGCATTGGAATTATTAATTGGAGCATCATCTTACCATTGCACTAGGCACTGATTTATTCTATGCTGTTAGCATTATTTTCTTAAAATTCACATATTTACAGTTTTGTGGCCTTCTAATTGTTTTTCGTCATGAAGCACAGTTCCACAATGGCTCTTGCTTGACAAATGATTTGTTTTCTCTTATCCAGCATTCCTTCTATTACTGTTAATTCCTTTTAAGAAGAAATTATTAGTGCCATACTTATCTGCCTTTCATTATATCAAAGAGATTTGTTCTCCCATAGCCAAATATGTTGTGAATACTTATATCTACTAGTGCATGCTTGTGAACAATATAAAAGCATTCTTGTATGTTATTGTGCGTACGTGCATGTTAATGTGTTTCAAATTCTTTCTTTGACGAAATTTTCTTAGAAACTCTTGAAAGTTGTGACTGATTGAAAATGGAACAGTTCTTTCTATTCTACATTCATCTGTTTTAATACTTTGATGTCTTAAATAATCCACCACTGCTTTCGAATGGAACCAGCTGAGCGCATATCCGCGCGTTAGGCTTCTGTTTAGAACCTTGATGTCTTCAAAATCAACCTTCTAAAATCAATAAGACCCTTTTTTCGTAAATATCCCTTTTTTATACATTTTTTGGCAGAATTTGAGTTGTTAAACTTGTACCATAATATAGAATGAAACAGAAGAGTTAGTTGTTTCACTCTATTGTGGAGAGAATTGAAGCAAAAGGAGGTGGACAAGGATGTACTTCTGAGATTTCTTAGGCATAGCACCTTTGATTTTGGTCTGAGTAGATCTCAGTTTAGTTGAGAATAATGTGTGTTAGATATCCCCTATTCCCTGTCAAGATTTCACTCCAGTAAAAGGGAAAAATTAATCTTGACATCTACAGCCAAGCTAAGCCTTCCAGTTTTGTTCTTTACTATGTTTTGTTTTGGTGTAATTTGCAGATAAACCAGCTGGTTTACGACATCATATTCTAGAAGTCAGGAAGCTTTTATGGAATACCCCTCCTAACAATAAAAACTACTTACAAGCAGTTTCCACCACCATTAAATGAATAGACAAATTCCCTGTGTCTACAACTACTACCACTAAACTAGCTACCTAAGATCCGAAGGGAATTTTGAAAAAAAAAAAAAGAAGCATTAGGCAGGATGGCTAGTTTTTATAGTAGAATTTGAGTAAAATATCTTTGAAATTCAACTGCTTAAATACTTCTTTGTATTAGTCTTTTTAGTGTCTTGTGCCATGGTGTCACTTTTAGATAAAATATCTTGGTTTCCTCTCCCAAAGACAGTAATTAACATTACTACTGCCCCCATCATCACCACTGCTGCTGCTATGAGACCATTTTGATTGCTTTCTCTTTATTCACTATGCATTTTGTTATGTTACGGGTAACAAGCAGAACTGCATCTGAAATAAAGAATGAACATGATGTTACCCTGGCTAGGAAATCTGGAGAAATCTTCTAGCTGACTTCACAGCAATAGGTTGAGGTGAAGTAGCTGCAGCACAGCTTCCTTATGAAAATTTAAATAAATGCTAAGGCACTTGTTCATAAAGATTTGGTTAATTTGGTTTCTCTGTTTTGGACAATCGATCAGATTTTCATATATTTGCTGCAGGAAGTCCAGGAGTATTTTGCAAACTATATAGTCAATGACAGTCTGGGCATCATTGCAAATGCTCACACAGTCCTTGCTGATAGGGAACCTTCCGAGGCAATGAGTGATCCTTGTTTAGAGCTTGCAAGGCTGTTTTCAATTGCAGTCGACTTCCCAAAAACTGGAGTTCCAGCTGAGATACTACCTCATCTGCGTGTCAAAGAGTATCCAGATTTCATGGAAAAGCCTAACAAAACCACCTACATATCAGAACGTGTGATTGGAAAGCTTTTCCGAGAGATAAAAGACATTGCACCAGACACAAACTCTATTAAAACCTTCACAAGGGAAGTGGCGGAACGGTCATATGATCCTGACATGGAAGTAGATGGTTTTGAGGATTACATTGATGATGCTTTTGATTATAAAACCGAGTATGATAACAAGTTGGGTAACATGATGGATTACTATGGCATAAAAACCGAGGCTGAAATACTGAGTGGTGGTATCATGAAAGTATCTAAATCTTTCAACAGGAGAAGGGATGCAGAAGCAATTGGTTGGGCTGTAAAGTCTTTGAAGAAGGAAGCCAGGACCTGGTTCAAAAAGAAAGAGAGCGACTCAGATGCTGGAGCTGATGATGTTTATGCAAAAGCTTCGGCTTGGTATTATGTAACATATCATCCTACGTATTGGGGTCGCTACAATGCAGGAATGGATCGGGATCATTTCCTTAGTTTTCCATGGATTGTTTATGACAAGTTGATCCAGATCAAGAGGGATAAATCAAGTCTCAGAAGGGCTCTCCATATGTCTTCACTTGAACGGCAGTTCAATTATGGATTGAGTTTGAATTGAGAACTTTTGCATCAAGCCAGTTCAATATTTTCCTAATTTGAAGAATGTGAAGCAATGTGATTTTATGGTTTTCCTTGACCACCTTAGCTAATGTATGGGTTTCTGTTCTATGTCTGATTATTTGAGGGTGTATATTGTCTGAACTAATAGATGTAAATGAGGAGTGTGTATGTACAAAAATAATAAATGATGTTTTCCTAATCGTTTTTCTTTGATTCTGCAGCTTTGTATTGGATGTTAAGCCCTTATTTATCCTTTTGCAGTTATATATATTCTTGTTAGCAGAGGCATGAAGAAGTTAGCACATTACATGAGAAGTTTAATATGACACATATGTTACTCAAGGAACATAGAGATTAGTGAGGGGTTTGCAATACATGTGCTCTAAAATCAGGTAAATTTTGGGTGCAGTCCCTTATAATTCTCATTGCCGGAACTTTCATGTGTAGAATGTGTGAGACTTGGGAAATGTAAATATGGAGATAGGTAAGTTGGACAAAGGGACACTAATACTGCGAGTGTCTTGTTCTTTCATGTCCGGCATTAATACTATAGCCAAGAGAGAATTAAAGCTATGTTATATCGTATTCTCTTGAATCAATCAATTTTTTAAACTCGTTTAAAAATGAGCCTAAAAAGACTCAGTTCGAGTTCGACTCGTTATGAGCTCGACTTATTCTCTAAACGAGTAAAATTTTAATAATTTTTCAAGCTCGTTTAAAGAAACGAGCTCAACAAACACAATTTAAACTCGTAAAATTTGACTTGATTATCAGCCCTACGATTAAATACCAAACTTTGTTTTCATGTGGCAACAATGATTGATATTTAATCTTCCGGGTGGTGCCCATCATTCCCGATACATAAAGGAAACTTCCTACTCCTGACCTTTTTCATTTGTCGTAGAATGATAATTGTGATCAATAATGAGTTATAATGAGCCCCATCACCCCTAGGATTTTTAATCAAGCACAGTTCATTCCTTGGAGACCAAGTTATTGATCTCCAACCACAAGGCATTGGGGTTACATCTATTCTTCTGTTCTTAGTCCTTTTATGTTGAGTTGATAATCATCTTCTTTTTTTGTTTGATACAAAATGCAAAAAAGTGTTTCTAGTTATAGAAACAAAACTTTTTTGAATATAGGGCTGAATTATTTTACACGAAATTGGTCTTAACAATGAAGGTACGGTGTAATGTGAATGATTTTGAGAGAAATATTGGTGGTCGTTAGAAGAATCTATTTGAGATCGTCAAATAGACTTACTAAAACCCACTATATTATATAATATATATTGTTATATGGTGTTCAAACTTACACCAACTATTTCCTCAAGTTCAACAACTGACCACCATACCTTCGTCAAAATATTTGAATCTCTTAAAACACTCCACCCTGCAGTCCAATGTGTATCAAATAATTTTTCATATAAGTTCTCAAGAGTGTGATGACTTTTGGTTATAATAATGGAATATGTGTTGCAAGGACACCTATAAACATTTTTATTTTCTGAGGGAAATTATCAAAAGACTGATGCTATAAAACTTCCAACAATGGTTTTAGGTGTTCATCCTTTTTCATTAGAGATAATAGAACTTTGTCCATTGAATGCTTTTTGAAATTTTATCTTGCTCACTCAAAGGTTAAAAATCTCACATTGCAATCCAAATTCCTTTTAAATTCAAATTGATGGTGCCCGGATTTGCTAGCCCAAGTTTGGTACCTTTGCCGATTGGCCCGAAAGGAATGAATGGTAGATATGATGAAATGGCAAGGAATAGAACAGTAAGAAGAAATTTAGAACACAACGTAAGTGGTTTGCTTTAGTCAAGAGACTAAGGCTACATCCTCTGAAAGGTAGTCTCTTGCTCCTCAAGTTTATATATTACTCGATTTGCAGTAAGTACAAGGGTGTAGTTGGCTCGGGGCCTTTACAAGAAATGTGTGCAGATAGGCTAGGCTGCGTGATGACTCGATAGCGAAATTCCTTGGTTTGGATCTTGAGCAACTTGTGCCTTGGTTTGATCTCCCTCCAGGTGGTCCTTCCAGTGGTGGTCCTCCTGGTGTAACTCCATCCCCTAACCATACTTGAGGATCCAATTTTTTTTTTTTTTTGAATGTAATTTCTTTGATACTTGTAAACATTCTCCTTTTTGCAATGAAGCTCCTCTTCTTTTTTGCAATGAATTGCTGCCAATCATTTGTCATGCTCCCTTGCCCCCTACTTCAAAGAGGCCTTAGCCTGTTTGGAGTAAGGTTTTTTATTTTCACTATCTTTTTCTCCCAATCTGCTTTATTCTAGGTTGCGTTGCCCCCAGCCCCAAGCGAGGACTGATCTGAGTTGTCCACTAGTCGGGGCTGAGCATCTCAAATCGAATCGAAGATGCTCGAGAGTTTGAGGGGTTTGACAGAGAAACTGCACGAATTCTAAAATCCTCGTTCTGTCGAGCCGAGCTGACTAGCTTTTAAGCTGAGGAGTTGTCTAAGGAGGTCATGATAGGTCATACTTTGCGTGAAGACCTAGGTCGTTCCTTGGCTGAAAAGGCAGATCATCCATTGGCTAACGTCGGTCCTTAGACGACTTTGCTCGGCTGTATACTTAAATGGTTTTATGAAACCTTCTTTTTTTTTAAGTTAAACCCATTTAGGGCAAATTTTATTAATAACAAAATTATAAAGAGAGAAGAGGACATAAACATTTCCCCTTACATAATAAAAGAACTTTAAATACAAAATAAAGTCTTAACAATGACTGCAAACGCTGCATTTTACAGTCAATGAAGAGTCCAGAGGATATGAGCTACCTAACAGTCTAGCAGAAAGTTAGATAAACAGTATCGTGAACAGTACTGGGCAGCTGAACATTAATCTGCTGTTTTCTTCGAATAACCCAACTGAAAGACAATGTTGAAATCATAATGGCTGCAAGAGTCCTTATAAAAAATTAATAATATCTAAATCCATAAGATTTCTTTGGCTTTGGCAACTTGAACGTTCTTGATCTTGTCATAATTATAGGTTTGACTTTATCAAGTGCCAAAGACAAAGCAGACAACTCCTCCTCTTTTCTCTTCTTTTACATCTCAACCTTATTGCATATTGACAGTAACCTTTTAGAAGATGTCATAAAAGAATTGAAATCATTTTCTCGAACTACTGGTGCCTCATTTCCATCAGAGTAAAAACCCCTTGATTGCTCATGAAGAGTGGACCTCTTAACGTAGTCATCCTTTGAATAAACTCCTCTTAGCTGCAAGGCCTTTTGAATCTCCTCCCCTAACATGCTTGGAATTATCTCTCCTTGAGTATGAATATTTTTATGGACTGCTTCCATCATTTTCGGAGTAATGGACTTTGATTTCTCCCCGGCCTCCACTATTAAGGATTCAAAATCTTGTTTATAGTGACCATAATTCAACAAGGATGAGGACTCTTCTATCCCATCGTTCGAGACATTTTCAGAAGAAATAGAAAATTCATTCTCATCCTCCTTATCATTTAAATTAACCAAGTTATATGCAGCAAAATCATAAACAGATTTAATCATTGTTTCGGCATCATTGTTCTGATCAGGAGGACTGGCATCATTGTTTTGATCAAGAGGATTGGCTACATTGTTCTGATAAGAGGGTGTATCACATGTCGTAGCATCATTTAAAGACAAATTATGTGCCCCCTTATCCGAATCTCCACCTTCCTGCATTACTGTCGGGTCTTGCATGTCATGTCCATTGAAACCACCACCCTGCATGTCCTGGGCCTCATTCATATTATCTTGTCTTGAAAATTTTGAAACTTCATTGGTTACCTGTTCTGCATCATCATTCACCTCCAGAACCAAATCCGGATTGGTTACTAAAAGATCTTCAGTATCTCTCCGTTGAGCACTTTCTGTTTGCAAAATATTTTCTCCATTCTGATCCACAATATTCTTCCCTGAATGTTCTCCATTTTCCATACTTGCAGGCAATTTTTCCTTCTCCATATCCCTGACTATAATGACAGTTTGCGATGCCTTTCCAAATGTGATTGTTGTTTTCTTTGCTGGATTATTGACTTGCCTAGGTTGTTGCTGCTGTTTCCATATTCCTTTTGATTGTTGTGCTGGCTTTGAATGCTTTGTTTGCTGTTGAGATTTTTCGTGATCCTGTGTTTCCTTAGTTATCTTCTTTGGGTTTGAACCTAGCGATACCTCCTTCCCCTTAATCTGCTCCTTACTTGCTTTAGCAGAATTATTTACTTCCAAATCCGGACTCTACCCTTGCCTGTCTTCCCCCATTGACAATACTTTCCTTTTCCTGCATGTTTCTTCTCCGTGTCCCTGCTTCTTGCAACTCTTGTAGTACTGCTTTCTTCGATCATAGATTATCTTTTTCCATCTTGCTCCTTCATCGCCCATATCAATCCAAATTCTGTTCGGATTGTTCTGTAGTAGATTGACCTCCACGCAAACTCTAACCACTCCTGGTTTTGACATAGATAGAGTAGCCTGATCATAGGCTAAAACTCTTCCAATGGGTTTTACCAATAGCTTCAAGTAAGGTTTGTTAAAAAAGTTCAATGGTAGACCAGACAGTGAGATCCACAAAGGCACAATGGATGGTTCAATGCCTGGGACAAAGCTTGAGAACCATTTAAAAAATCTGAATAGATAGTCTTCTACCAAGGTTGCATCTTTGAGCCACGTCTTTACATAATCTTCATGCCACTCAAACCTAAGAAGTATGTGTCTTTGGTCCATGGATCCAACTTCAAAATCACCTTTTAGACTCCACTTTGATCTGATAACTTCTTTGATAATTCCAAGAGAGGGTCTTCCATATGAACATTTTCCAATCAAGGCATACTGGAGAGCTTGACTTGAACTTTGTATTTCTTCATTGGTGAAGTAGAAGACTGGTTCCCCTTGGTAAAAAACAACTGGTTTGTCAATTTTTTTGTGGTTGGGACATATCACTGGGCTGTAATGATTGATTTGTGAATAGTGAAGCATAAGTTTGAGGTGTTTTAGAGGATAAATCTGGTGGTTTTTGTGGGATTTGGTGTTGAATAGGTGAAGAACTCATGAAAGAGAGAAAATTCTAGAGAGAAGGCAAAGCTTCTCTCTCACAAGTCCATACCGTACTATTCTTTGTTCACTCTTTTGTGACTGTACTTTTCCTAAGTCGAAGGGTACGGATGAAAAGGCTCTTTAATGAATAGACTGATGGTCCACCAACCGTCACCTACCACTACACTGTTATTATTGATTACTGCCATGATTGCAGAAGTTTAACAGTCACCTGCATGTTATTTATTTCTTGGTTCTTCAAACTCTT